GGTTCGAGTCTTTTTGTCTTTCTCTTGGGTTTCATCTCTAGCTTACCCCGCCTTACTTGGGACTAAAGGCTATGATGTTGTTGTTGTGTTGATAGGTATGGTGCCATATTCAAGAGCCACATATTGGGCTGCCCATGCGTGATGATATCGAGCCCAGAGGCCGCTAAGATGGTCCTTGTCTCGAGAGCCCATCTTTTCAAGCCCACATTCCCGGCTAGCAAAGAGCGCATGCTCGGAAAACAAGCCATATTTTTCCACCAAGGAGAATATCACGCCAAGCTCAGAAAGCTCGTCTCACGCGCTTTCATGCCCGATTCCATCAAAGCCATGATCCCAAATATCGAGTCCTTCGCCTTAAGTTCCTTGGAGTCTTGGGAAGATAGACTAATCACTACTTATCAAGAAATGAAAACAGTAAGTCACTTAAAACCTAGCAAAAAAACAGGGGAAAAACAGAGTCCCCTGTTTTTTGATATTATTATAAATTGTTTATGAACACTCATTATGTCTTTTGCAGTATACATTTAACGTGGCGCTACTTTCAATATTCGGAAAAGACGAGGTTTTGTACAGGGAGGATCTCAAGAGGTGCTATTATGAGCTCGAGAAGGGTTACAACTCGATGCCGGTTAATCTCCCCGGCACGCTTTTCTACAAGGCAATAAGGGCCAGAAAGGAGATGGCGAAAATATTGGCCAACATTCTAACTCTAAGAAGGGAAATGAAGCAAAGCCATAGTGACTTGCTCGGGTCATTCATGGAGGATTCTGAGGGTTTGTCGGACGAGCAAATCGCGGATAATGTCATCGGAGTTATTTTCGCAGCTCGGGACACGACATCTACTATCTTAACTTGGATCTTCAAGTTCTTGGCCGAAAATCCGAGTGTTTTGGAAGCCGTTACGGTAAGTTCACCAAAAAAAATCGATCTTTTTCTGCTCGGAAAAAAGTAATCTTGGGAATGAAAATTTGGTTATTGAAAACTTTTTCTTTTCTTTTTTTTTTGAAGGAAGAGCAAGAGGCTTTGATAAAATGGAAGGAGGATTGTGGGGAGAGTTCTGGTTTGAGTTGGGCAGACACAAAGAGAATGCCTAAGACATCAAGGGTTATTCAAGAAACTCTGAGAGTTGCCTCTATTTTGTCCTTTACTTTTAGAGAGGCTGTTGAAGATATTGAGTTTGAAGGTGAGTTTGGAAAATAGTAAGGAAAATGATTAGTTCCCTTTTTGTGTAGAACTTTATCATTATTATTATTATTATTTGGTTTATTAATGATGTTTTTTTCTTTTTGGTGTAATAGGATATCTAATTCCAAAAGGATGGAAAGTATTGCCACTCTTTAGGAACATTCATCACAACCCAAATCATTTCTTGGAGCCTGAAAAATTTGATCCTTCAAGGTTTGAGGTAAATATCAATCATATAAATACATATTTTATATTTGTTGAAAAAAAAAAAAGTAAAAATGGTTTGAAGCAAAACTTTAATTTATCCACTAATCCAAGTGGATTAACTAACAAGTGTCCTGATGATGTGACAGGTGGCACCCAAGCCTAACACCTTCATGCCATTTGGCAGTGGGTCCCACTCATGCCCAGGGAATGAGCTGGCAAAGGTGGAGATCCTTGTCCTTTTGCATCATCTGACCACAAAGTACAGGTAAGAAAAAGAGTTGCTTTGAAACTAAACCTTTTTCATCTGTGGTGAAATTTTTTCTTGGAGTGGCTAAAAATAGCATTGCTCATTTGATTGATGTCTTGTTCTGATCAAAAGTATCAATATGTTTTGCAGATGGGCTGTGGTGGGCCCACAAGATGGCATCCAGTATGGGCCCTTCCCTCTCCCCAAGAATGGGCTGCCCATTGAGCTCTCCCTCAAAAAATAGAAAATGATTACTATATTAAAAAAAATATAAATAAATAGAGAAGGAAGCCCAATTTCACTGTGGAGAGAACAAGAAANAAATTTTATTCAAGTTCAATAATCATATTCTTTAGTTATCACAAATCTTTTCGTGTTTAATGTATACATTAAAGGGTTGTATATGTTGATTTCAATTATTTGGTGAATATTTATGAGTAGTTGATATGGGATACCACACCCAAAGAAGTAAACCGGTCAAATAAACCGAACAAACCGTCCTGGTCGAACAGAATCCAAGTAGGGTGGTCGTGGTCGAACATCACAGGAACAAGAACCTTTGGACTAGAGGACAGCTTAAAAGGGATTCCGGTGCATGGAGAGCGAGTCGATCCTAGACCCTGGGAGGGTCTGGTCGAAGATTGACCTTCGACACGAATGGTAATTTGATCGACCATTCTCAGACTCGGAGTAATCAGTGGATCGAACTAGATTCGGTCGAGCATTAGAGCCTTCGAGGAGATCTCAGAGGAATCAAATCCCCACATGCGAAGGACACGTGGCACGACTTGATTGGTCCATATTTCATAATTGTCTCTGACACACCTCTAGTGTGTGTTGTACGACCGGGCAGGCGGGGCAGCTTTGGGCAGCTACCTTAACTCATTCAGGCAGCCTTCTAGAAGCAGGTACCTCAAACCTATATTTATAGGGGTGAGCTTTACGATTTCATCATGATTTTCCCATTATACTCTTGAGAATTGAGTTTGGAGAGATATTGACTTAAGCATCGGAGGCTCTTCACCAAAAAACACCTCCAGTGTGAGAGTTTTTGCAGGTACTCGGCGTTCTACCGGCGAGGAGGACGAAGGCTAGCCCATTTCCTACCGGTCGAAGTGCTTTACGATATTCTCTTTAATCCATTCAATAATGTTTTCATAAATCATGCTTTGGAGCCTTTACATGCCAAACATGATTTAATCAATTCAAATACGATATAATTATACTTATCTTTCTAGTAATTACGAAAAGTCAATTCTTGATATTTATTAGGTATATATATTTGTATGGTTACATTCATAAACACGCACCAAACATGCACTCAAACAAGGCTCACACACACACAGAGTTGTTATTAGGTGTGCACTTGGGCATACAATTAATATTGATTTTATCAAATCTCTTGATACGAAAAATGAGAAAATTTTGGCTTTAAATTAATAAAGATAGCAATAAGTCATAAAAGAAGGGATACATATCGTTTTTCAAAAGATATAAAAAATAAAAAGTCAATCTTAGATGGTAGACGTAACGAAGCTAAAATAATTTGGTGGGCACGAGCAATTATATAGGATCGATTATTTTGTGGTGATACTATGTTTGTATTTAGATTTTTATATGGGATCAATTTGTTATGGCTAGATCTGTTAAATAAAATGAGTGAGCTCGTGACTCGTGAGCTCAGCTTATTTGATAAACAATCTAAACTCGAGTATGGTAGTTAATGAATCGGGCTCATATTCGAATCAAGCTCGTTGTTGAATTATTTAGTTAACTCGGTTCGACTCATTTACATCGCTATATGAGTATGTGTGTAAATTGATGTAGATTATAATTTACCTAATATTTTACTATTGAATCAACATACATATACTCATACGTGTGTATGTTGATAATTTAACGATAAAAGATCAAATGAGTTAACTTGGCTTTTTCTAACAAGCATTGGTTAGATTGGACATTTTTATTTCATATAATCGATATTCATTCTTTTATATAAATGTAGACTTTGTTAGTCTAAGTGTTGTCTTTTGGTGCTTTAGAAAAGTTTTAAGATTATAAAATACTTGAATAATAAATTATAAACTTATTTTAAATTTAATGACTTTTTATCATTTTTTTTATAAATGTATCAAATTAATCCATTTTTTCATCATATTCGATTTCACATTCTTATTGCATATATAAATTAAAAATATGATTATATCCACCTATATATAAAAAATAAAAAAATTATTATTCATTAATTAAAAAAATATTTGATACCATTGTTGTCCATTCAATTATCTACGAATGCTCTTTTCAATATAAATAATAATGTAATTTTAAAACAATAAAAAATAACAGTTATTTTTCCTAAATGTTAAATTCACAAATTGTTCAAACATTTTCATTGATTTTTTGGGCCATATATACGCATGTAAGTGAACCTGTCGAAAAACACATGGTTCGTACAAATATACGGATGCAATTAAAAAGGAATAGACAAATATGAAAAGAACTAGTGAAGATGGTGAGAGTTCAACTCACAAATATTCACATGTTTTACATTTCATAAACTTGTGCAAAAAATATATTAAATATGTCTATCTAAAATATATATATATGGGTTGAAACAGCTAACATAATTAAATATGATATATGATAGAGCTGTCAATATGCTACAAATTATTTTTGTTATTATTATATCATTAGTTTATATCTGCTCTTCATTCTTTATTTTATTAGTTTTAAATTTGGAAGTATTCAAATAAAATACGTACATTGAATTGCATCAAAATATCAATATATTATGACCGTAAAATAAAACAACATAAAAAAAACTAATAAAAAAAGGGAAGACATTTTCAGACACAAGGGAAATGTCAAATGCTGGCAAAATAAATGACAAAACGATGACTCATACACACATGTGAAGCTAAATAAATATTACTTTGTTCCCAAAGTCAAGCATTAAATAAATATTTGAAAACAACAACCCTATAAACAATATCGTTCATATAAATTTGGCATAAAGTTTCAATTTTTGAAGCTCAATCTAGCTACGCAAACGATTTCATACTTTGTATAATAATACATGATATTTTCGTATATTATATTGAAATAATTTGGCAAAAGAATATATATGCGATGAATTATATTGATTACAAAAAATAATTTGGCAAAAGAATGAAATAATTTTGAAATTGTGAAAGAATATATATGCGATGAATTATATTGATTACAGTTGATTAATGAAAAATAGTGAAAATAATATATATAGATGATTGATAATTAAAAATATGTTGGTGAATTTTGTTACTAAATATGTAATAATGATTTATGCATGTACGCATCTTTATTTACTTTTCCAAATAGTAATGTGTTACTTTTGTGGGGGAAAAAAATGGCTAATTTAATTATTATTGGTGTGCTTTGATTAGTTATGATGGGATAATATTTTATAAATTCGATTCAATAAATACAGGATTGCAGTAACTGTACTTTACTATATTAAGGGAATTTATAATTAAATATGATATGAAGAGTGTAAAATAATCCGATTGACATGTGAAAATCTTTTTCTTATAAAACTGTGGAGATCTTTAAGAGAACGAGAAAAGGTGTGCAATTCGGCGAGCAAATGATGGACTGGACTTGAAATCTCTTGTTGGACCTGCAGCTTTGTAAGTTATTGGGTTTTACAATTTAGTTGATTTTGCCCTTTATTTAGCCAATTGGGCTCAAAAACATGAAATAATCCATGAAAACTGAAGAGCTGTGATTGAGTCTTGGTGATTTTCTACTGCAATGCTAAATATCAATTTATTTATGTTTAAGTGTGAATATTTTGAAGGCATTAATTTCTTGAAAAGAAGTAATTACTTTCGTTGTATTTAATTTTTTGAATTTCTTAACAAAGATTATTTATTCATCATTTTATAATATGTGTATAAAAAACTTGGACCACTGAACTAAAAGTAAACCTTTACAAACAGGCTTAATGCATAACATATATAGTTAGTAGTGTTTCATACACAGATAATCTGTCCTTGGATATTAATTACCTCCCCAAACACAAATCTATTATTCCCTTTGACTAGTGCCAATTTTGTATTATTCACTTTGACTAGTGCCAATTTTATATATTTAATTGCAATTAATCTTCACAGGTGGATTTTGCCTCCCCAACACATCTCTATTATCCTTACATACATAAATCTAATACCAAATTTATATATAGTTTATTTATTTTATTTCAAAATGATGGATATAGTTTATTTATTTTATTTCAAAATGATGGGCTACACAGCTACAATAGAGTTGAAAGTTAAGCAGTGGGAATAGGGATTATGATGTGATTCAAAAACGAAGAGGAATGGACATGGGAATAAAAATTGGAATAAACAATGCTCGAATAACTAATTGATCTTGTTTATTAAACAAGTTAAGCCGAATTTGTTAGTGAACAACAAAATTTTATAGACTTCTAATTTTATAAAACAGTCGTACATATAGTTAATTTGTACGCAAATAACTTGTTTAAGATTTTAGATTGATTAAACGAGGGGAGTGGACCCGAATCAACTTATTTATCAAACAAGCACAAGCTTGAACATGAGCTACTCGACTCAAATAACAATTGTTAGGATATTTGGCCCAAAACCAAATCCTTATCTCAGGCCCAAGGATATCTCGGCCCAAATCCCGACTGGGCTTGACCCTCTCTCACACTTAAAGGGCGGGATGCTTTTGGACCGTTGGATTTAGGGATTAAATCTGAGCCATCCTTTGTACACCATAAATACTCTTCTCTCACATTTGCCTTAATCTAACTCTCACTTTCCTCTCTCTTGAGCTGCTGCGCCCATCTCTCTGTGAGAAAACCGATCACTCTCTCTCTCTCTCACAAATTTGTTCTCTTCGTGACTTCCCTTGTGAGAGCCGCCGTGAGTGTCGCCATGAGTGCTGTCGGAGTGCCGCCATAGTGCCGTCGCCACCGTCGTCGAGCTCTAATCGCCGGAGGCGAGTCTCTGTTTGAGACGTGAGCTTAGGTGACGGGGAGACCGAGTGCGTGGCTCGTGTGTGAGGTGCAGCCCGGGGAACAGGCCGAGGAACCGGGGCTGCCGGTCTTGGTTACCACCGAGCCGCGACTTACCGAGGGTGCCGGAAAGAAGGACGATCTGAGCCGGGAGAGACGACTTCGTGTCCCTCTTCTCCAGTCGCCAGACAAAGGGAGTCTTTCGTTCCTTTTTCTTTCATTTCCTTTCCTGAGCATTTTACTTTGTGTAATAGCTTGAGTATTGTTGTTATTAACAACCACTAACTGTGTGTTTGTGTTTAGGTGTAATCGGGAGTGAAACGGGCCCTTTAAGAGAACACGTGAACCAGCCCTGGCCCGAAAGTGAGCGGTCCGTGTGGCCTGTGAACGAGCAGCATAGCCGGTAGCTCGAGAAGGGGCTGCAAGCGGTTAGAAGAGCTCAAGACAAGCTTCCGCTGCCAATGAGTCTATCGGTGGAATCCGGACGGCCACACAACAACAATAATAATTTTAAGCTAAATAACTAAAGCCAAAAAAATTAAAGCGATTGGATAAAAATGTTTTCCTGTTTTGTCTTACCAGATATATTCTTTTCATTGACACAATGTACACATTGTTTTCATAAAATTTACTTTTCATTTACTTTCAAATTTTTCTCTTCAATCTGATCAACACAAATAAAAAATAAAAATAAATTACTACTAAACATTGTAAGAAAAAATCACGTTTCATTACTTTCAACTACCAATAATTTACATCCATTAGTTTTTTATTTTTCATCATATAATATTATCCATTACTTTTTTATTTGCATTCAATAACAATCTAAAAAAAAAAAAAATCTCAAGTTACTTCTTCATTTCTTCACATGGGCCAGCTCATGGGCCCTTTACCCTTTTTATCTTTACGTACCAAAATATATAACAACCTTTAATATTCCTTTCTTTAGGCAACACCAATACGCTAAAATTAATACACAAAATGAAAAAATAAGAACAAAACTATTTTAACACAATTATTTAATATAATGAATGACCACAAATAATGTGTATATATTAACAGCTGTAGATATTAAAACTAACAAAATACGAAGAATAAATGAATTACGACTCGTATTGTTGTGTCCAATTTTATGTCATCTCGTATATCATTGTAGCGCGATTGTGAATATATTACACACAAAAATATTTAAAATAAATTCTCCATGTATCTATCCAACAAATAACTGAACAAATCTTGACAACTTTTTGTCAGTATTCACAAATAAATTTTGTCTCAAAGCTACATCATTTTCGTGGAAAAAAAAAATGACATTTACATTTGTGTTGGCTTATCAATTTTGGCGTGGACCTTTTTGTGTTCTTCAGCTTGCACTCTCCTCACGACTACAGCTCCCGAGCCAAGAATCGAGCCAAGAGCCAACAAGCCGAGAAAAGCCGAGCCTATATAGATCCCGTTTTTCACTAAGTAACACTCGCCATTAAGCCAGCCGTCCCCAAAAGCCTGGCTTCGGCTCATGCTAGTGGCCACGCCGATTAAAATAACGGCCACCCCAAAGTTAATCCTGCGAAAAAAAGAACATCCAAAAAATTGGAAATTTAACACAATTACGAAAAATTGTAAAGTTATAATACATTAAAATGTTAAATTTCTAGAGCTATCGATTTTTGGCGCGACCGTTTTACTTGTTTTGGGCACGACTAGCACTGGGCCATGTCTGAGTTGGCCATAATTAAGATTTGGGCTCAATGTATTGTCCTGGCTTGGTGGGCTCGGGCCCAAAACTATTTGTGAAATAGTAACAAGTGTATTCATTTATGATTTTTTAAGACTTTTTAAGACATTATAAATCTTAATTTATTCAATTTATACATTTAAAAGTCTGGAGATATTAACTTGAGGTTTTAAAAAATCATGAGCATGAGGTATTGAGGAGTGTGTATTCAATTGCAATTTTTAAGGATTTTTTAAGAATTTAGAAATCACGGTGTATTCAATTTAGATTTTTTAAGATTTTTAAAAGTTTTGAGGTATTCACTAGATTTTAAAAAGTCTTACAAAATCCCGAAGTATTTAACTTATTTGATACTATGATTTGTTTGAAAACTCCCCACAGGAGAATACACAAACTCCCCACAGGAGAATAACACAGTCCTCCAAAGAGGAAAAAAACAAAACACAATCCACCAAACAAAACAACAAACCACAAACAGCACAAACCAGACAACAACAAAATAACATAATAACTATAAGCCCTCCACAACCGCAATGGACAGCCAAACCACGCGCACGAACGGACCCCAATAGAAGAAAAGAGACCCGACTCAATTCAGATCTAGAAACTGCAATCGAGGCCTAGCTAAACCCGAGCAAGCCAGGCCTCCTCCTACCGAAAGCCCGCAGACCTCACCACGAATTCCGGCCGGAGAGACACCCCACACCAAACCGGCCGAAGCAGTCAGAAGCCTCCCATCGGCATCCCAACTCCCCCACCGTCGGGCCACCCATCCCAGCACCAGGAGACGGATGGTCCAGGGGATAATCACCTCCGCAAAAACTCAGCCGTCGTCCGCCTGAGGACAGCGAAACGGCGACGGCGACCGCGAACCACCCACCCACTCCGGGACCCCGCTGAAGAACCACCAAGGACCCCAAGACTGGGGAATAAACCTTGCCGATTGCAGGCCCGTCCGGGAAGAAGACACGCCGGTCCCCTAGTGTAGTCATCGCCGCGGCAGGCCGGAGCCTGCGGAGGGGAGGCGGCGGCAAATTTGACGGGGGACTTCTAGGTTTAGCGAAAGGGGAATTGTATTTTTAGAGAGAGAATTTTTTTTTTACGCCGGTCCGCTAGGTAAAATTCTAGTTGACAACCAGCAAATTATTTGGTGGGATTTCTAAACATCAAATTTTATACAAAATTCCACTTCAAATCTCACATCAAGACTTAAGATTTCATAGAATTCCTCCAAAATCTGAAAATCTTAAAAAGTCTCGAACTCTTAAAAAATCTCAAAATATCACTTAAAAATCTCAATTGAATTAACTTATTTAAAACTAAGATTTATTAAGATTTCTTGAGATTTAAAAAAAAACATGTGAAATCTCACTCCAAATTCCACCTCCAAACTTAGTATTTCATAGAATTCCTCATAAGTCTAAAAATTTTAAGAAATTTTATATCTCAAAAAATCTAAAAATGTCAGTCAAAATCTCAAACGAAATCATCCCTCTGAGTCTCGGGAAAGTTCGAGCTCTGCTCGACTCAATAACCTCTTTCCACAAGAATTTTATTAGCTGCTTAATTTGAAGCTTTCAATTAAAAAAAAAAAAAAAATTACTTCTTATTTCCATTATAGCTCTGTTCCAAAACATATAAAAAAAACGTATAGATAGTGGGATAAGTATGGGATATTATAGCTGTCCATGTTAGAAGGTTCTCTTTTGCCAGGGAAATTTGGTAATTAAATAATTCGAGTTTAGTATGAATTAATATTATAAAACAAGCAACAAAGATTATTTTAATCATGGAGTATTAGGTTATTAGGTGGTGTCATCATTGTTCAGACAACATGCGCCGGTTAGCATTTAATTATTATTATAACTTAGAGTAAGGTTTTTGTATATATATAAATGATAATTACATAATCTTTCACAAGTTCATATAATAATCGAGTCTCACTGCAACACATGAAAAAAAAACAAGACGAACCAAACAAGACTCGATTTTCCAGTTTAGCTCGATTATATGTGCCTCAACTAAAAGAGGTGCCTTTTGGTAACTAACTAAATTGACCAATTAAACTATGGATTTTAACAGAAAAACATAACAACTTTTAACATACTTACCAAGAAAACACCAGCAAAAGGCATGAAACTGATTGCTTCCTAACTTTACAGACTCTGTTAACTCTCCACCTCCATTGGAAATGTTTTTTGCAGACAAATAAATTTCCAACAAATTGGGCCAAACACAGACAGATTAAGGCTCCAAAGCCCAATTCATAAGCTGGGCTTCTCGGCAGATAACACAGCTTTCCATCTAATCTCAGATCATTTTTNNNNGAGAAAAAATCAATTTCAAAAATTAAATTTATATTTTCAAAGAGGCCCATGATACAAAAATTGAATTTTGTACCTTTAATTTCTTGAATTCAGCAGCAAAACACAGGGCTGAGTAGACTAAGCCAGAGATGATGATGGCTGATGAGAAAAGTATGAAACTGTACTGATTGAGGCTTTTCATGTGCATAAAGAGGTTGAGTTTAAGGTTAGAAACTCTGAATTGGTTTGATTTTGAATAGGAATTGGAGAGAATTTGAGGGGGAGGAATTGTAGGGGGAGGTGAATGTTTGCTCAAAGGAAAGAATATTGTTTATATTTTTTTATTTTCTTTTTTCGTTTTTGGGGACTTTTTGTTTTGTTGGTGGGTTTGTTTTCCTTTGAAGGGGGGACTTTTGGTGGGGACTTCTAATTTTGAGTTTTGGCCAAGGATTGCATTTTCAAGCAAGGAGGAGAAGATAGTATTCTTTTGTTGAAATTTGGGATTTTTGTTTGTTAAAAGACTAGTCAACTTTGTAAGTAGGATATTGCTGGATTTGGTGGGATTTGGAGTTAATTGTGGTTGTCTGGTTAAGTGGAATAAGGTCATGAGAAAAATAAAATATTCATACAATAAATTACATGTAACCTGAGGATTTATTTATTTTTTTGTTTTTTTAAAAAAAACTAGTACAATATCCGTGTATTACATGGATGTCGAATTAAAAAATATATTATAAAAATTATTGCAAAATAAAATTTTATTTAAAATTTTTTATGAACTAATTAATGATAATAAAAGAAGAATAGACAGTGCAGACTGGGGCTGCAAACGAACCGAGCGGCAATCAAAGCTCGACTCAAGCTCGAGTTTGACCGAACTCGAGTCGAGCTCAAGCGGCTGGAGCACGAACTCGAGTCGAGCTCGAGCGGCTGGAGCACGAACTCGAGTCTAGGTCGAGCCCATATTTTGCCTTGTCGAGCGGCTCGAGATACATATAAATTACTAAAATACTTCTTTATATATACATTAGCATAGGTCCTTAATGGTAATTTTACCTTTCCACTTAAAAATTTTCAAGCCGAGCTCGAGTATTTTGACTTCGAGTCGAGCTCGAGCTTATTGTAATTTTTTATTGAGTCGAGCTCAAGCCTCAAAAATCGAGCTCGACGAGCTCGAGCAGCCAAAAAAAAAAAAGTTAATCCTGCTCGATAAGGTCAATGCTCGACTCGGCTCGGCTCGTTTGCAGCCCTAGTGTAGACAGTGATCTGTAAATCGTAATTTAGGAGAAAAATATAAGAGAAAATTATAAGATGGTAAGATTGTTATTTGACCAGATTAAGAAGGAAATTTGTACTAAGAGAAAAAAAAAATAACAAAATTAAATGTATACTTACCAAGTTTAAAAAAAGTTATTTATGTCTATACCAAGCCTAATTCCAAAGCAAAAAATTAATATACAAACAACATTCCGAAGCATAAATTTTTGTCATGTCACCATCCGAAACGTGTGAGCCTGTCACTTAAGCTCGACACATTTTGAATTAATATAAAGGAAGGGATCGAATAATAGATCATCTATTTTTTTTAATGTAGCAAGACTTTAAATGTTTGTCATATGAAATAATTGACACGGGAAACAATAAAAACAATAAATTGTTACTCTCTTCATTTTGAAATATAAGGCATTTAAGGTTATTGCACAAATATTAAGGAGACATTAATTAATGAATAAATTGACTAAATTAACCTTATTTACTCTAATCACAACCACTCCACACTTCCTTAATTTCAACACAATGAGGATATATTTAGAAAAAAATGCAAAAATTTGTCTTGATTTTTGAGCGCGCCTTATATTTCAAAAAATTGAGAAATCTTTATACGCCTTATATTTCAAAATGGAGGGAGTGTTTCTTTGAATATTACATAGGATATTTGCATAAGTTTCAAGTTAATTTCAATTTTAACAGTATATAAATGTTTGATCTGTGGTTTATTTTTGTATCAGGGCCATAAATTGCAGTTTTTTTTATATAAATTTATGTATAATTTTACTTTTAATGTTGTATTTTTTCAAATATTAGGGCGTTGACAAAAAAGCTTATTTGGAGCAATTTTGAGCACAAATTCATCTCAAACACAATGAAAGTGGTAAAACCAAATCATATTTGGAGCACAAATTCATGAATCATGATCATGTTCATGTCTCACAATCAAAGTGGTAAAAGCAAATCATGGAAACATGGTTTTAAAATTCTAAGTTGGGATATTGGGCCAAATTGGCCCATTTATCTTAACTAATTAACCCAAAATACAATGCTCATATATTACTCGATCAAAGCTTTCAAATTGTTGGGCTAATTTAATTTAAGCTTGGTCCAACCTGGCATGATTAGGATCCTAAATCTAAACCACATGCGCTTGAGCCCAGCTATCCAGGCCATCTAATTATTTTTTATTTTTTCTGAAAAGTTGGATATGGATATAAAATTTTCATAAAATGTATCATGTATCTACTCATCTCATTATCCTTTTTCTGCTAAAATGTGGCATGTTTGGCTGGTCATGGTGCCATTTATTTGGTGATTGAATTCATATTTATAAAATGAGAATGTGAGACACAATCTTATCCATCAAATAAGGGACAAGATATGTGACCAAGATTTATTTTTTTAAAATTATTTAAATATAGATGTGATCGTTGGTGTTGACTTTTGATTTTTGGTGTTGACTGTGTGTACTCAAAATATGCAATTGATATTCACTAAATATGCATTATATATGTGAACTAAATATGTATTTTGTATGAACTAAATGTGCAATAATAAGCTCAATTGATATCAACTGAGTATACATTATTTATGAATTAAATATGCACTATGTATGAACTTAATATACATTTGTATGAACTAAATATATACAGTCTTGAAATTGATAGTGTCATTATCAATATGTAATTGATATCAACTAAATTGTAGCTTAGCAATCCCTGGTCAAATCCAAATTGTAGCCCTCTATACGGGGGATTATTCTAATTAATGAAATAACTAATCCCCCGAAGGAATACAATCACCTTACTTACTCAAATCTGTCTTCAAGGTCGAGCCAAAACTGACTTAAAAGATTCTTATTGTATAGAATGTGTGCAATTATAATATCATTTTATACTGACCGTGGCATAATTTAATTCTGTTATGTTGAGCCAAATACGAGGTTCTTAAATATTACATTAACTCTGACTTAAAAGATTCTTATTGTATAGAATGTGTGCAATTATAATATCGTTTTATAATGACCGTGGCATAATCTAATTCTATTATGTTGATCCAATACGAGGTTCTTAAATATTACATTAACTTTGACTTAAAAGATTCTTATTGTATAGAATGTGTGCAATTATAATATCGTTTTATACTAACCGTGGCATAATTTAATTCTGTTATGTTGAGCCAAATACGAGGTTCTTAAATATTACATTAACCTACGAGGAGTCATTAAGTCATGTCAAACATCAATAAATTAATAAAAAGGGTAGTTGGTCCTACAATTATGCACATACATATACCAAATTTTTTATTGTTGGATCAACACATATTCATATCAGTATATATAAGCGTAAAATTAGGATTTCTTAGCGTTGATTCAACAAACACCCACGTGGATATGTATGTATGTGTGTTAATTAGGATGAAATAATATACCCAATGAAAAGTAGAAAATAAACTCAAACCTCCAAGAAACTTTGAGAAGCTAGTTGAGAAGTGGTCCTGCACTCCTGTAGTCAATCCAGTATTATAGGAGAATCAACAAAAATATCTCACATTGTCAATGGGACAAGGAAAAAAAGTACATAATTTTCATCCATAACCTTAAGTAACAAAGCATCTCCATAAACAAATCCAGTTATTCTTACATAAAATGAAACAACACTAGCATGCATGCAAACCAAATCCACAAGTTGATCACATGAAAACATCAATCTTACAAAACCTTTATTTATTTATTTTTCTTCTTTTCCCACAAACAAGGAAATTCACAAAATATCATTTTTTTTTTCTTTTCTCCCTTGCAAAAATTGGATATATATCAAAATCAATGTTTACGATTAATTTCCTTTTCCAGGCGGACCATCATGACCCATACCAGGACTAGGCCCGGGATTAGTAGGCCTGAAAGCACTTAACTCTAGCTTCTTATACCGGTTGAATGGAAGCCTGATCATGTTCGGAGGATTAGGCTTGATCATTAGGTATCCCAAAACCGGGGCCGGTGGTCGAATTTTAGATGCGCGGAAAGCCAACGCATAGTTGAAATGGAGATATAAAAGCAAAAGAACCATATAAAGAGCAAGAAAATATGTTTTCTTACATGAAGCCATTGAAAATTAAATTTTTTTCCTTTTTTTTTTCAAATAAATGGAATTATTTCATTTGAAGACTTATGTTTCTATGTTCTATTTCTTGAAATAAAAAACTTTGCAAGAAAGATTTGAGATCTGAGGTTGATTTAAGGGCAATGCCAAAAGGCCCCACACATGAGCATGCTGCAAATTGGTGTACTGTTTTTGGAAAAATTAATGAAATTGAGGATGTTAGGATGGAATATTTTTCCAGATTTGTTAAGGATAACATTTTAATTAAGTGACTTGTTCAAAGTTATAAAAGGGGCTTTGCCCTTGTTGTGTGGCCACTCATTTATCTATTTTTTTATTGTGTTATTTTATTTAGTACCTTTTGTCATATTTGGTTGAGGAGCCCTCATTGCTTATTTAGTGTTGTTAAGTGTACACACTTAGGGTAGGTTGGATATATAAAAAAAAAATCAATAAAAAACTAATTATTTTTTACTACTGACTTTTTCTAACTCAAAATCTAACTAAAGCTCAACTGTACTGTCTCAATATTATAAATATAATTAAATAATATCAATCAACCATCCTTATACATTGCATCAACTTTAATTTACTATCCATTCATTCACATAATTTTAACTACTCATCACTTTCAATCACATCTCTCATACTTTTACATCAAATCAACTTTAGTCATTTTATTTTAAATATTATTTTAATACAAACTCAAAATCTTGCTCGAATCTAACTCAAACCATTTTTTTCAAATTAAATATGATTAACTAGATAGCCAATTGCAACCTTAATATTATGAAAATCGAGTGAAGACATTCGCCTAGGTAGGCACCGTTAGGAG